AATATTATGCCATATATACACATTTATGGGCACTTCTCAAAATATATTCACTTATGCTACTGAGATGTACTATTCAAATATAAACCTTAACCATAATAATTTTGTGATGTAATACAAATTCTATGTCTCTATACCTGTGGTTATAATCCAATTTTGGAGGGAGCGCTCTCTTAAAAGGATTAAGATAAGATGTACCTTAGTAGAGAGTGTGAACCAAGTAACTGCCCTTTGTTTCCTTGGGGATAGTTGAAAGACAAAAACCACACCTCCATCAAAGCCATTCTTCTGTGTACAAGAGCCATATCAAAAGCACAGAGAAATCCAAAGAATACTGGAAGAAGAACCACTATTGGAGCATATTAAAGACTTCTGAAGTGATGGAAACTGAGGCCAGAGGGACAAAACGCTGCAGCATGAAGAACTTGGGGCAGAGCAAAGAGGCAGACTGAAACTAGAGACCAAGGCAAAGAGAACATGAGACGGAACAGATGAGTTGTCCCAAGACTAAGAGATGATGAGGCAGAACAGCATGCTGGCTTCCTGGTCCCTGGAGGCAGAGGCCAAGGACTGAGACGATAAGGACTGGAGAGAGACTTGGCTAAGGAGATGTGTTGCTGTGGACAAATGATTGTATCTTGACTGTTACTGATCCTGACTTGTGGTGGCCTGCTAATTTCCCTAATCCACCTCCTTAAAGGTGATTATTGTCTGAGAGTTTTGTGTAGTTATTGTAATGGATTCTGGAGCCCAGCATAGAACCATGTCATGGGAGGAATGGTTGGTGTCAGAAGAGGTAAAGAAGATAGAAGATGGAGGCGTATTTAGCTTCTCTCTCATGGGAAGCCAGAGGAGGTCAGATATGGTTTTCTGTACCATTTTTCTGCAGTTTCCAATTTCAGTATATCATTACTAACCATTGCCTATAGGAAGATTTTAGATACAAAATATTTATCTAGAATCCAATTTCTAAAAAATATTCAGTATATTAGTGATTGAATCTAGCAAAAAAAAAGATGAAAGAAGTCATGTAGTTTCATAATATTTTAGGGTTTTCTCTCTCACAATAATTTAATCCAAACCATTTAACTAAACAGCTAAAGGTACTGGGAGATTAAATGAGTAAGCTACAGTCATCTAAACAGTTTGTGTCAAAGTTAGTCGGAAAAAAGTGCATAACACTTAAATGTATATAGTGTATTAGATTCCTATCTAAAATAGTCTGAATTCTCTCTCTCTCTCTCTCTCACACACACACACACACACACACACACACACACACACACAAGCACACACATACAAAGAAACAAAGGTACTAGGAAAACAGTCTATACAGCTACACCATAACCCACATGCACCACCATTGAGTCCCTCCTGACTCATAGTGACCCAATAGGACAGAATAGATCTGTTTCTGTAGGTTTATGAGGCTGTAAATCTTTGCAGGAGCAAAAAGCCTCATCTGGCTAGTGGATTTGAAGTAACAAATTTACAGTTAGCAGCCTACAAGTAACCCAGTATGTCACTGAGCACTCTTAGTTATAACTATCTATTTAAAATACTATGCATAATTATTTATATGTATGGTGTAGGAGCATGAGTTTGTTGGGTTCATGCACACATATAATAATAAAAGCAGACAGTGCTGATAGGTAATGACATTAAATCATAAGATATAATTATCCCAAATATTTATGGCTAGCGTTTTGGAGTGGCAGAGTATGGAGAATTTTTTTTAATTTAAAGATCATTTTATTGGAGGCTCTTACAGCTCTTATAATAATCCATACATCAATTGTATCAAGCATATTTGTACATATGTTCCCATCATTCTTTTCTAGACATTTACTTTCTTTTTTTTTAAAATCAATTTATTGGGGCTCATAAAATTCATCACAATGCATAGATCAATTGTGTAGAGCACATCTATACATTTGTTGGTGTTGAAGGGAACAGGCAGCAGACACCAAAGAACAAAAACCATCATTGTGTGACCACCTACCCCACATAAACGCTGAAGACGAATGTGTGCTTAAGTAAGTGTGGTGAAGAAGGCTGATGGTGCCCGGCTATCGAGACCTATAGCGTCTGGGGACTTAAAGGCTTGAAAGTAAACAAGCAGCCATCTAGCCCAGAAGCAACAAAGTCCACATGGAAGCAGCACACCAACATGTGTGATCATGAAGGGCCAAAGGGACCAGGCTTCAAACACCAAAGGCGGGGAGAAAAATCATATCCTCGTCAATGAGGGTGGCACATGATGGGGACCCAATGCCCATCTCTAGACAACTGGACATACCTTGCAGAGGGGGAGTGGGGAGATGAGTCACTTAGGGTTCAGTATAGCAATAATTAAACCCACAACCTTCCTCTAGTTCTTAAACGCTTCCTACCCCCAACTACCAGGACTCCAATTCTGCCTTGCAGATCAGGCTAGACCAGATGATGCACCGCGTTACAGATGGGAGTTGGAAACACAGGGAATCTAGGACAGATGAACCACTCAGGACCAGGGGTGACAGTGGCGATATCAGGAGGGAAGGGGGGTGTAGAAAGGGGGAATTGATCACAGAGAGCTACATATAACCTCCTCTCTGGGGGATGGGCAACAGAGGGGTAGGTGAAGGGAGACGCCGGGCAGTGTAATATAAGGTATAATAATAATTTATAAATTATCAAGGGTGCATGGGGGAGGGAGGCAGAGGAAGGGAAGGGGAGGGGAGGAAAAAAGGAAAACGAGCTGATTCCGGGAACCCAAGAGGCAAGCGAATTTTGGGAATGATGAGTATGGAGAATTTATAGACATAGTGTGCCTTAGTTTAAACATAAACTGTGATGAAGTTTCATGGTAGCACCATAGACACTGGAAAAGATAATGACGAGAGTAAGAACACCACCAAGAAACCTAAAGATTGTCTTAGCAGTCAGATCCCCAAACCAATATACCTATCTCAGTCTGGAATATTGAAAAATATTCACTCTGTTACATTTATTGATACTGCATAGGCTTGAAATATTTCAAATATATCACAGCTATAGAATAGTTTCAAGATTTGAGTTGGAACCATGTGGTGTCAAGAACTATGAAAGGCCTGAGATTTTATCATACTTGAAAGTTTCCAAGCTAACCTGCCACATTTCATAGATGCTGGCAGAAAAGACACTATTCCTGAGTCTGAGATAAACACCTTTATCACTAACAGTCCAACTGGCAGCATGAGGTTTGTGTTTGCATCTGTCCAAGTTCTATGGGATTGACATGGGACAGCCCTGGTGAATACTGTATACACAGTGATTCTGTCACAACTGAGGACCCCAATCCCTCACAGGATATTACTCACTAATCTGACAAACTTTGGCCCCAAATTAGACATTATCATTATTATACTTCTGCCCGGGAATGAGACACTCTATCCTTCTTCCCAGGTTGGTGCTAAGCAAGCATCCTGGAAAAGAGGATAGAACCAAACCTCCCTGGGCCTCTACTCAAGGATTTTCAGGAATGTAAGAGGTACTTTGAATGTAGTCTCCCAGCAGGTGGCTGCGTCAGTCATTCAGGAATGTGCACAAATAAACTTGCCTCTACTGGGACACTTTGGGTGGCCAGAAAATGGGATGGGACAACTGTCAGTTGCTCATAGAGGCATACATGTAAAGACCACAAACCTTCAATCATATATGGTATTTCACAGGCCTCACAAAATCTCTCTCAAAGCTTCAAGTGCTCATGTTCTCTATTTCTACAAATGTCTCATCTTGTCCTGAACAAAATAAGGGAAGTGCAGAAAAAGGAAGAATTTTACAATGTGTTAACTTCATTTCCCAGCATTTTTATGGACTTTCTTTCATCACTTTTTTTTTTTACTTTGAAGATGTATGTGGGGTGTGTCATATGGAGATACTTCCTTGATCAAGCCTATGGACTCTGAGACTCCTGTGTCGAATAACCATCATGCCATCATGTGAGCTATTGTGATTTTGTTACTGGATTGATCAAGCCTTGGATTTACTCAGTTGGAGCTTTTCCTGGTTTGTAAGAAAGTATTTGAAACAGAGCCCTCCAAATAACTAAGTCTGCTCCTATCACTGTCAGCAATAGAAATCTGCCTTGATAAGACTTGGAACAGTTTCAGTGTTGGAAGGAAATTCACAGTTTGAAATGAGTATAATTATCTTTAAGATAATAGCTTACAAAGAAGTATCCAAACTTATTTCTGATTTCTACTTCAAGAGTTAGAATTTATAACTATTTGCCCTCTGCCTCCCTGGAAATTTACATATTTATGACACTGTCACATTCCTTATTAATTATACAGAATTCATATGCAAAACCGCCACTTTCTCCCTGTGGGAATTTTTAGTTCTTAAAACTCTTATTTATCATTAAAAGCAATTATGACACTAGAAAATATTTATGAAAACTACTTTTACCTTTTAGCTGAATGCAGGGTCAAGCAAATATGTCCTTGCTATGATAGTTAGGTTTTATGTCAACTTGGCTAGGCCAAGATTCTCAGTGGTTTGACAATTAAGGCCTAGTAATGCCCCGTGATATGACCTAACATAGTGTAATCAACTTCATAATTGGATCTGCTGTGAACAGCCAATCAGTTTTAAAAAGATTAGAGTTAAATGCAACTCCCTTACTCATGTCTCAGCTCGACGCTATATTGCCTGCTGACCCTAAGAGCAATCAGACTTGTTCCCATGTCTACAACTGTGTGATTCATTTCATTTTCTTGATATAAATTTCTCAGTCTCTCTCCATATACATACACACACATGTATATAATTTCTCACTGGTTTTGCTTCTCCAGAGAATCCAGGGTAACATATTTGCCTTCTTTTCTTTGCTACTATTTCAGCAACAGCATGCTTTAAATTTTCCTCCTATATAAAGAGCAGGCAGGATATTGGTTCATTTTCAAGTAAAAAGGTGAAACTCAAGATAAATAGATACTGCTATAGTAGTTTGTGGCAGTCTTTCATTTGAATTATTTCTAGTGCTCGCTTTGGCAGCACATATACTAAAATTAGAAAAATACAGAGAATATTAGCATGGTCCCTGTGCTAGGAGGACATGCAAATTCATGAAACATTCCATATTTTTGGAATCCTCCAACCCAACCCTGAGACAGTCAAAAAGTCCTAAAAAATTGTTTATAGCATTTTAGCTACAAGCTGGTCAATTTCTGATTTTTTCCAATTTTAGGAAAATTTTATTTTAAAGAGTAAGCGGGGCCTTTGGGGATATTTTTATTTTTATTCTTTGAAAACTATTGATTTATTCTCATACACATTCCACTGTATTATGTGTTATTTTTGTGAATCGATTTTAACCTTTTTAAAATGATTATATAAATATCCAGAAACACTGTATGTACTTTTATCCGTTTAATGAATTTTCCCCAAGATGAAGCCTCTGCCAAGAGAATACCTCTGGTCA